TAACTGATATATTACTCTCTCTAAAAGAATATTCTCTAACAAATAGCGTTTCTGCTTATACAACAGAATTATCTGTTCAGTGGCAAATATTCGGTCTTAGTCTATCAGTAAATCCAGGAGTGACTGTGTTGGCTAATAGAAGATAAAATTACCGAACGCGATAATTGTTTGTTGTGCTCAATTGTGAAGTAGTGATTTTTCATTGAGGCAAATCATCAATGACGAGAAAGCGTTACAGAGTAAATAATAAGCAAAATGTGTTAGCAAAACTAGACCCTCATAATCAAAGCTTACCAGATTCTGTGACACATCCCAGAAGTTTAATGACATAAGAATGTGGTTTCAGCTGCTTCATTGTGTCAAGTTCTTTCATTAAATCTCTCTTGTCCGATTCAGTAGCATTTGCTGGAACGTTAAAAACAAGGAGTAAAATTTGGTAAACTGGAACAATATGCGTAATGTCAAAATAGCAACATAAGTTATGGAATGGCAAATAGCTAAAACATTACGGTAACCCGGTGACAGTGACTGACTGTAGGTCAAGACTGTCATTCAATTTACAGTACAAGAGCTCACTTTTAAGCATCTTAATAGCCACTGTGGTCGTTTCGAGACTCCCTTGAAGCCCCACTGCTGTTCCCTTGGCAACCTGACCAAAAGCACCTTTACCAATGATTTTCTCTATGGTCACGTGGTGTCTTGGAACTTCCCAGCAGCGTGTTAACGGATGAAGAGGCACGTAATCAGCACCTAAAGTAGTACTTTGTGCTTTTCTGTCATGTTTGTTGACTTCTATGAGATCCATGTATTCCGCAGGAGGCTGAGCGAGTTTTGTTAAACCGGGAAGACTTGGTACGATGTCTTCTAATCCTGTTTCATTCTATTAAACCAACATACCATTAAGGTATTCATATCAAGATCTGTTATTAATCCGAATAAAAAGTCCCACATGTTTACAAAAATCAGTGTACCCATTTTCATCAGACAAACGTTTATATTCTTCAGTAACAAGAGATTATTAATACTCTATAATCCCGTGCCCACTAATATTACTAATATTTCTTATTACAAATACTTTGTTCTCTGCCATTGCAACTATTATGGCCAATGGTGTGGTCGAGGTTCATAGCATATTTGCCGAAGCTACAAACTGCAACATGAAGATTTTCGATTGGTGGTGCAATTTTTGACAAATACACACACCAAAAGTAACCCTTGTTGTACTTTGATCCTTGACTGAAGTTTAGAAAATAAGGCATCAAGAAAACAAGACAGCCAAAATTGCGCGAAAAAAATTGTCACGATCCCAGGACAAAGACCCTATCGAGTCAAACTTCTTCCCATATTTCATTGTACTTGCCACTGATGCAATAAACCTTCTTTTTTTTCTAGAACCACACCTTTTTTCCGTCTTATTTGTTCCAAGCGTTTATTTCCTTCTAGAGAGTGGAGGTAACACTAACATGACCTTAATGTCTTAGCTGTAACTTACGTCGTAAACACCTCTTACATCATCATAAGTCCTACAATTGACAAAGCATACAAATATTTATGAAAAGTTGAGAATTTCATTAGTTTTAAGTGGAATTTTGTTATAAGATGATACCATATCTAGTACATTACAGCGAAACGATCCAAGTGGCAGTAAATTCGTACCTCTGCTTTCCTACAGCGCCTGAAAAAGAACGAAAGAAGAAAAAGACAAATGATGT